GTTTTCCTCACTTTTCACTTTAGGAAGCTCCAACTCCTGAAATGATTCATTCCCAGTCCCCTTTGTATATGTTTGAAAATCCACTGTGACTTTGTCGCCTGCCTGAGTACCTTTCCTTCTCAGTGGACTGAAGATCCTGAAGTGCAGGAATCCAGCTTTTACATCTGTCCCTCTACTTGGCCATTAAGGTTTGTCCCCAAGGTGCTTTTACCTGCCCAGATGAGGGGACAAGTCAGGTATCAACTTGGTCATGTAGCTCTCATGCTCAAGATTTATGGGCATCTACTTGTAGTCATACCAAGCCCTCACCTTGAACCTAGCTTTATTGGGTTTTTTTGTTTGTTTTACTATTTTTAATTGTTATTTCAATAGTTGAAGCCATACAAAGTACAGGTCTATAACTTCACCTCTTTTTTGGAACTAAGTCAAGTAAGAAGTGATATCCTCTTCCTGCAGCAACTTGAACAAGACTGACCATACCCTTTCTCTAACGCTCAGTCTGTTCAGGCCTTTCCTCCTGGGCTATCACTCACTGTGATAATTCTCTGTTACTGCATTGCCTTATGTAAGTGGAGTTACCTTTGTGGGATGCCATTGTTGTTGCTGGGTCTGTCAAACCTGCTGTGCCGAGTTCCTGGCTTACCCATCATACTTTGCAATTTGCGTCTCTCTTGTAATTATTTTCAGGCCCTTATTGTTCTTTCAGTGAGACTTGCCGTCTTTTATAGCAAGCATGGCTTTTCTTAATCTATTAAAGCTATTTATAACATATGAGCAAGTAATCATCTAAGCCTTCAATAAATCTTTAAATACAAGATAATTGAGCTTGTAAATGTCATGGACGTCGGTTTACTTGGCAACATGATGCTACCACATATCTGACACTTAGCAACTGGGAATTCACAGATTGAAAAACATAAGAAACCTTCTGACAAAACAGAAACGGATCTCTCTTCTCTGCCTGTCACACACACAGCACACACCTCTCGGCCCTACGAGGCTGTGTTGCAATGTCTTCTAAGTGCCACGTGGTCCCTGGTTTCGGCTTTTGCACCTCCAGGACATGGGTATTAGAATTTCATGTTCTCAGGGTCTGGCACAATACTTGGCGCACACTCCAGCTTAGGAGAATGTTAGGAATGAAGTGTTGAGTTGAACGGCAGTATAATTTGAAAAATATTATAATAGCGCCTGAATGCATACCATGGAGGACAGGGAAAGGGGTACCCAGTCTGATTTTCTGTTTCTTGGCTGTCTTGCCAAGTGACAGTTCCATCAGACTCCATTTGGACACAGTTCCACTTGGACAGTAATTTTACTTAAACCAATATTGGCAATCTCTGTTTGGTGGATTACATTTTCGAGGAGGCACTGCAATTTAGAAGCATGTAAGTTGGCTAAACCAGGGTCTTATATTTCTGAACAAGAATTTAGGTGCCAGCTTTTTATAGAACAAACCCGTGTTTAGTAAGCTTTGATATGCTGTTCTCTTAAGCAGCATCAAGTTTTCTGAGGCTCAACAATTGATTTTGTGATTCTACTGCTGTTTAAAAACTCACTTATAAAATGTATAGAGATTTTCTGGAACTTTTAATTTCTGGGCAGTAGGTCATAGGCCATTTGAGTGAAGAAGGTTTTTTTCCCCTACTTTCCTCTATATCTTTGTGTTGCTCTGAATTTTGATTTCAATTAGAATGCTTTTATATAAAAATGATTTCATAGAGTTGATGTGAACCCCAATTATTTAAGGATATTAAGCTTAAGAAGCTCTTAGAGGAGCGGCCACCAACTAAAAGAGAAAGTATAGAACGAGGAGACTCAAATAGTGCTTTTCTCCAAGCAGAAAGATCCTTTCCTGAAGAAGTGGCTGAACAAGGAAGAGGGTGTGGTGACAAAGGTGTCCAGGTGCTGAGCACGTCACGTGGCAGGCCTTGGGAAGCTGGCGTGCAGGGGCTTGAAAACACACTCCTTCATAAGTGTTGGTGATGACTTGTCAGTTCGGGCGGCTGAGTGTGTGGCCGCCTCATTGCTTTTACATGGTAGCAGCTTAGCTCTGGAAGGTCAGCGAAGCTTCGAATGTCCTGACTTGGCATCAATCAAAGCATTTGCTTCAATTCTTTATCAAAGGAAATATTTTTTTTCTTATGATTTGAGTGAGGGGAAAATGTCATTCAACATAGGCAAACAAAGATTACTGGCAACAGATGGTCAAGGATTGTGTATTTTGAAGGTGAAGGCAGTTCAGCATTCTTCTGTGAGAGAAGGGCTATAATTTCATGCACCCAAATCTGCCACTTTGGGATAGGATTACATTCTTTCTTGTTAAAATTAAAAGAGTTTATTTTACTGTTAATATAGTGGTATTTTCTGTTAATTTGAAAAATCACTAATGTATATCAAAATAACTTACTTTATTTTTAATACATAAAAATATTACAATTGTGTTAGATTAATGATTCAGAAATATGTAATTTCTAACATATTTAAATTCTACCACCTCATTCCCCAATTAACTTCTGCTTGTTACATACATACACACACACACACACACACACACATGCACACTACATACGCTGTGTATCCTGCAACTTGCCTTTTTCACTTAAAATAGGTCTGAAAGTTTATTTTCTGTCTTGGTTAGGATTCACCTTGTGGGTTTCTTTTTTTTTTGGTGGTTGCATTTTGCTACAATTTGAATGCATCATATTTTTAGTCTACTTAAACTTGAGAATAACTTATTTTTTTTCCTTGTAGAATTTATTCCTGAGGAATTCCTATGGGACTTTACAAGGAATGATAGTTATTTCAAAAACCCTACATTCCATGAACGGGTATTAGGCACATGGAATGTAATGAGGATAGGAGCTACAAGTAACAGCAAAGATCGGCAAAGGGCCTTGTAAAAATTATTTCCAAATGCTTGTTGCTATAACTCTTTGGCCAAAATGCTTATTGGGGCAGGCCAGGTTTTAAGGAAAATCGGACCATGTAGATAACAGCTGATTTATGAAGTGTGTAGTTCTCTTCATGATATATGTATGCGTGTGTGTGTGTGTATATATGCATATACACACATATATAAATGCTTTGTTCTCTTTACCCTTAAGTTCTATTTTATCCATTGAAATGTTTATCATTTCATGGAAAATAATTCCACTAAGAAGGGCTGGTTGCTTTTTTAAAAAAATGTAGTAAAAAAACCAACAATTTGTGGACATGATGGTTATGTATTTTGACCATGATTAAGAAGTTACTGACCAGGGTGCACCCATTCTATTAAAATATAGGTTATAGCAGTAAGAGAACAAATGAACATTTTATGGGGTAATAAACTGTTTTTTTGGGTCCAACATCCCCCTAATTCCCTAAGAGCAGTGGTGTAATTTGACTTGGACTTCCACCCACACAAGTAGCTGATTTTTCTAGTTGTAACACTTCCAGTCTGGTAATACTTTAGAAGCTGAACTAGCTCCTTCATGGTATTCTTTGAATAGATGGAGACCTATTTAGATTCAAAACTGAAAGGCCAAGAGATGCCATTTTCTTTTTATAGGTCTAGAAACTTGTTTCTAATACAACCATTTTAAGCCTTTAAATTCTACATTCTGAATTTTTAAATTTTGGTAATCATGATTTCACACTGTGGTTGTATTTCCTATTCCATGAAGTGGTGTCATGGAGTTTTCATAGAGCCTTACATGCTGTTAATGGTCACAATTACATGTTACAAGTAATGATGTACCATGATCTGTTGAAAACATGACCTTTCAATTAATCCTCTAGCCCTCTTCTTTCCTCAAAGAGTAGTTTAACATGCATCTGTTTTCATCTGTGCTCAGCAGTGATGTTTAGCCTGGATACTACTGGCCTACCAGGGAATCTGACCTAGAAGTCAGTCTATAAATTCTGGCATTTTCCACCTTGTTGTAATGTGTAGTTTAGAAAAATACATTTTTCTAATCCACTGTCACTTCTATCGATGCATGTTTCTTATCCAAGTCAATCACTATATGTCCATTATTATAAATCCTCACAATAGCTTTGTAAGGTACGTCATGTCCCTGTTTTTTATAGGAGGGAAAAAAGGCTCAGAGGGGCACTTAATGGTTTGGAGTCACAGGCTGGTAAAGGAGAGCTGGGGTGCAGACCTAAACCTAACAGGCCTCAAAGCACCTCTGGTTCACCAACTGCTCCTAGAGAAATAACTTCATGCTCTGGAGAGAGAAAACACACACACACACAGAGCCAGATTTAGAAGGCATTGGTTTGGGGAACTTTGAGAACCAGCCCTATCACTGCTGATTATGTGACAGGTTCCTTATTTCTGCCCACCTTGGAGTACGATCGTGAAGACTAACTGAAAATGCTAGCAAAACCTTTATTTTGCACATTGCAGGTTTTCCCCAAAAAATGCCCTAAAAATCCCCCTCCAAGTTAAGACACCCTCTGATGAAAGTAGATGGCCAGCATTAATAATGCCAGTAAATTAAATTAAAAAAGTTAAAATTACTTTTTAATTAAAAATTTAAAAGTAAATGAAAAATTAAATTTAAAATTAAGAGATTTTTCATTTAGTGTCCTGAAACAGAAGATACTGGTTAGAGTATTCCTGTTGTGTTTTCCATTCGAGGTCTTTTGAAGGAAAGAACAGATTTCAATCCCAGCAGCAAAGTAATTTGTAGTGGGGGGGGGGTGTTTTCTTTTGCTTTTTAATCCTTTGTTTTAATCCCATTTAGAGTCACAAACATTTCCGAAGGGGCTTATGATGCCTAGGGCTCTGGGCTGGACTTTTGTTTTAGTCCATTGATGTGGTGAGCTGTTGGAAGAGGTGGGAGTGATTTAAGATGAGATGGCATTAGGAAACAAATGAGTTGAACACATATTTCTCTGACCACTAGAATTTCCATTGAGCTAACCGGTGAATTTGTGAGTTTTATTTGCAAAACAAGTACTATTTCTTTGATGAAATTTTTCTCTTTTTCTCTTTAAATTGCTTTTAGGATGCAGAATAGAAAACTGTGATTCTTGCTTTAGCAAAGACTTTTGTACCAAGTGCAAAGTAGGCTTTTATTTGCATAGAGGACGTTGCTTTGATGAATGTCCAGATGGTTTTGCACCATTAGATGAAACCATGGAATGTGTGGGTGAGTAGTTTTTCATATGACTCTCAAACTTCAACTTTTACTTTCACACCTGTTTCTTTAATTAAAAAAAAAAGTGTGCTCAATGTAGCCAATCTAAAAACAAATTGGCTCTTTTGTTTATTAGATTTGAAAATTAAGTTCTTTGCTGACATTGTAAATTCGCCATGGTATTGGGTAGTCTTGTATATTGTATCTTGATGCAAAATCTGCTAATTGTACATTTATTCAGTTAAGTGCTGGTAATGTTTTTATCATCAGATAACAATCAATTTCTTAATTATCTTGATAAAACATTTTACTTAGAGGAAAAACAAAATATTAAAGCAGTGCCATGTGGTTGACTATTCAATCACTTTTGTTGTGACATGGAACCTCTTAGTATAGCTAAGAAATATTAGGTGGAAAGAAGCTTTTTGTGCCAAATATATTTTGCTGATGATTGACTATATACCGAATAGTTCATTGTTAATTTTACTTTTGCAAATTGAATACAATGCATGATTTAATACATACATGTAATATATACTGGTGGTGAATAATAATTAGGGATACATGTCTAATTTTATATTTTTTGTTTGAAAACCACTGTGGTATTTTAATATTACTGATTAAAAGTCTCCCCATGCTGACATTTTGATGATTTCATCCTAGATGAAATGGCATCTTCACCCCTCCCCCTGTGCACACACACATCCATCCCTGGATTTTTTGACATGTTGTACATCTGGCTAATTTGATGTACAACAGAGCTATGTATTATAAATAAGACTTCCCATGTTCCTAAAATGGACACACAAAAAATTAAGAACTCTTTTTGCAGAAAATATTGCTGAAATACTTGCATTGATCTGAGAGCTTGCAAAGAACACATTTAAAAGTTTTTGAAGAAATGTATACTTATGTTCCTATTTAAGTTCATACGTTCGTACAGGTGACACTCTGTTATAAGGAAGTCACTAGAGGAGCAGATTCAAAATGTTGAATTTGCACTTGAAAGGCAAATCCCCACCCATTACAGATGTTCAAAGGAAACTCTTACTAACCCTGAATTCTAAAACAAATTTCGAGTCCTATGCACTCCCCTAAGTGAAAATCTAAAATAGCTTTGAGAAGTCTGAGTAACCATGAAGCCTCCTGACATCTGGAATGCTAGAATATTCATTGTGTGTGGACTCTGAACCGCAGTTCTCATCTGCTAGAGTGAAATACATGTTAATGGTGAATTGATGAGGTTTAACTGCATGTTTTTATCTTTATATCTCTCACCCTCTACATCTAAGTGGTATAGATGGTAGCCTACTTTTTCATTATATGAATTTGCAAAAAGGAGATGCCCAAAGTGCTTACATATGTAGGAAAAACATACATCTTCAACTACTTGATCATCCTTGCTTTTACTTTTCAAACTACAGTAAGGTATGACATCAGTTTAGGGGATGAAATAAATACTGTGGAAATACTTCCACTCTTCAAAGACTTGTGAGAATTAGAAAAGACAAAACAATTTCCATTCTTTTCACCACGTACTTTTAAAATAAACACTTTGCTGAGTATGTTGAGATTGGGTAGAGGAGCATTGAGAATTAACTGATAAATTTTGTCTTCTGTCATGATACAGAAACAGTATCTTCTGTAATTCTAGCTGTTGACTCTTCTACGTGCCATATACTTCAATGACTTTAGAATGGCCCATTTCATCAAAAACAAATTAGACAAATAGAAGTTACTGGCTTTTAAATGACTTGTGTGCCAATAATTTGTTGTAAACAAAAGTAACCCTATGGTTCAAAGCATGTGCTTCCCAAAGGTGAATACAGGTGTTTATGGGTTATCTAGTTTACCTTTTTGGATTTGAAGGTAGGGGTAGTGGAGAAACACTATATAAATTAGATGATGGTGGCCCAAATGGATACTAAATTGTTATCTGTGTTTGCATTTTTTTCTTTCATCTTTATTAGAAGGATGTGAAGTTGGTCACTGGAGTGAATGGGGAACTTGTAGCAGAAATAATCGCACATGTGGATTTAAATGGGGTCTGGAAACCAGAACACGGCAAATTGTTAAAAAGCCAGCAAAAGACACAATACCCTGCCCCACCATTGCTGAATCCAGGAGGTGTAAGATGGCTATGAGGCACTGTCCAGGCGGTGAGTCCTTGCTAAATTTTGTCCTTCCTATTCACAGCTCCCTACATAAAGATTATCACAAAGGACCTGATGATAACATTGGTGAGAGGACAAAGATCTTAGTTAGAAACATGCTTAAATTGTGCAGATCATAAAGCAAATAAAGCAAATATCTCACTTACTTCTATGGTACCTTGAAAATAATTTAGAAGATGACATTGCAAATGAGATTTCTAAAAGTCGGCTTTTTTTTTTTTTTTTTTTTTTGCTAGTGTTCCATAAATGTGGGTTCTTATGAAATCAGGTCATTGCAGATGTTGTTGAGTGAAGGGGCCAACTTTCAGTTGAGAAGAGTTTAGATTAGAAAGGTTTACGGAATCTGTAAAATAATCTGCATCATTACTAGTTGAAGATGACAACTTAAAATAAACTTGCCCAAACACTGGGAGGAATAAATGTTGTCTTAATGTTACCACAATTAGCCAGTTTTCTTTGTTTTGATAATAATTTGTAGAAAACAGCTACTGGTATGTGTGTGTTTATTCATGTCTTTGTAGTAATTGTGCTGATTTGCAGTAATTATTCTGTAATAACAGGATTAGGCCCATTTACAAATTAGGAGACTTGAACATAGCTCAGGTGCTGGCTGACGCTCAGTCAGTATGTTGAAATGCAGCTCTTAGCTGTCACTGGGTTCTTAAAGCATAATCGCTCGTTACTGTTTATTTTATCACTAACGGATGCTGCTTTGCCAAAGATGAAGTTGGGGTTTTTCTAGTGCACAGAATAGAAAAGTAGAAAAGGAGTTATGTTTAAAAATTGCCCTGTAAAATAATCAAAATTCTTGTTTGCCTTCATTCTTGCTGTTGGAGCATAGCTTTTCACTTTGTGGCCATCGCCCAGAGAGAGAATAGATATCTGCTTAAAATGGATTTATATCCATATTAGACTGCCTCCTGGAGACTGTCTATGACCCATGGAGGAAGACAAAATTTTTAAGACTTGAAGACTCCGGTTGGCCTTTGAGAGCTATTAGATCCAGATTCAGAAGCTACTATTAGGAAAGCAGCTTTTCCTCTTGAATTAATTTTGCTTTTCTATGCTGGGCTTTTGAAACAGTTTTTTTTTTTAGGTCTGCTTTTCACTAACAAGGATGGTTTTGTTCACTTAAACTGGGTATTTTTCAGTCAAAATATAAGAAAATATTTTCTTACAAAACTAATAAGCCACTTCTTGGATAGCTGAGAGCATTTAACCTGCAACCTGGTGCCTAAAAACAAACCCGATGTATTCAGGTAATGGAAATAAAGACTTTCTTTGTTGTATAATGTTTATATAACCACCACCCCCATTCCTTTTCCAGCAATGTGGTCCCCCAATTGTGGTTTACGTTAATAGCAAAAATTAACCTGAAAATGCTTCTTTAACAAACATGCTTATGTGTGAAAAGGGCTGCATGCTTTCCTCGCCTCCAAAACTATTTTGATCCAGCCCCACCCAGTGTTGTCTGATTTTGTAGATAAGGGTAGATAGTTAATGTGTGATGGCTACTGCATTTGTGTTTTTATGCTTCCAACATCAGTTTGATAGCATCATAAACTGGCATGGTCCGCAACTGATAAATTACTCCAAAACAATGCTCATGTATGATTTGCCCATGTTCTTTTTGGACAAGTGAACCAATAATGAACTCTCTGATTTAGTCTGTATTTAGGCTTTGTCAAGTATTATATATTAAGTGAGGCCAGTTATCACTTTAACCCCACACCTACATTTTCAGTTTAATGAATTTGATTTGTATGTAATCGTTAAAGTTAGTAGTTTTAAAAGTTACAATGGGATTGCATTGTTTTATTTCACAAAAGGAACTGGAATTGATAGAAATAGATTACCCTGCAATAAAAAAGTGCCTGTATATTCATGTAGGAAATGAACACTAGGAAATTAAGGTTGAAACTTGAGCACCAGTTGGTAGAAATTGGCATAACTTCCAGTGGAGTATCCCACCTTGCCTCAGGTGAGAGAGGGAAACGTTCCTTTCTTCAGTAGTTCACGGTGATTAATGGAAGAATGGAGAAGAAAACCACTTTATCCCATTTTACATCTTGATTTGATTTCAGTGATCTGCTTTGACAAACCATGCAAAAATGCAAGTCGTAATCAGGTTGGGAATACAGGCATTTTTCAGATCTTTGCAACATATGTATGGATTTTTCTTCTGTTGGAGTCAATCTTAACCTGATTGCACACAAACTCAGCCCTAACCTCCTTCACACTAAAGCACCGGCACATTAAAATCAGCTGCTTTTGATTACTGGAAGGCATAAGTTAGAGGTCAGTGTAATGGAATAGTCACTAAGTGTATAAGATATTACACTGAAAACTATTAAAAAGGAGAAAATGTCTGTGGGATTTAAAAACAGCAATGACAGGGTGCACCGGCCTGTTTTATACTGAGTGGTCAGATGCTTTTTGCCTTTGTTAAAGAGGAAAGAATACCTGGAAATATCCTAAGGACTAAATTGATTTATTGATTTACATTCGGAGTTCTCTCAGTGTTTATTCCTAAGCTTTTGTTTTTCATTGGTTATCTTTTCTTTCATTTCTGAGGACAGAAACTGTGCAGTTTCTTGGATGTTTCTGACTCATTTTTCACGGTCCTGGGCCAGTGGGCAGGAGACCTGGGTTTCTGTACCCTGTCAACCCACTCATTCTGTGCCCCTCCGCAAGTCACTTAACCTCCCGTGGCCTCTACTTCCTTGTTTGTGAACTGAGGGTCTTGGGGTAGGTGATCTCTGAAGACCTGTTTAGTTCTAAAGTCCAGTGATTCTAAGACTACTTCCCAAAAGATACAGGCAAGGCTGTGGTGGTCATGTGAAGGGGGAGGGGGAGATCTGTAAGCCTCAGAGCAGTGCTCTCGGGCAGAGACTGCACTCTTCCTAGGAGCTGTGCTGAGTGTTTGCCAAACCTTTCACATCTGGCAGCTCCCCCTTCCCTCCCCATCCCCCATTCCCCTCTCACAGGTAGTCAACTTGCAAAGACTAAAGCAGGACTTGAGATCTATCAGTGATCTGTGATTTCATTACTGAGAGAGCCAGAGGATAGAGATAAAAATGAGGGGAGCATAAAAATGATGGAAAAAGAAAAAGTTGGATTGGGAGTGTGAGGAAAAACTTTTGAACAATGAGTATAGAAAATCGGAGGTAGAAGGATGGATAAATTAACAATGAGGTAAGCTTTATAATTTTGTGGCACTGTCTTCCCGCTAGCCTGTGCATGCTAATTAATAGAACTAATCCTGTCAACACTAATTTATTCCATGAATATAGAATCTGTAGGGATTTTAAAAATTTGGATAATATTGATTTGTATTACCATGATGCAGAAGTACAGGGCCATACCTCTTAAGATGTATGATACCAAACCACATCCACCACATTACTCATAGCCCTCCCCACCAAGGTCCACAGGGCCCTCCCCTTCTACTTCCTCCCTTCCCTCTCCCCTCTATAAGTCTCAGTTTGGTTAATATATAGGCTTTAAGAGGAAGAATTTCGTGTTTGGACCATGTTGTACATTAGACAATATATTATAATACTAGAAAAATTAACATGCTATTGTGTATTGAAATGACAGAAGAACACAATCATGATTGCTGAGGTATAATGTGGAAAAATACACAGGAGAAAATGTTGTTATTTGGAGGGGTTACAATCTTCCTTTCATAGGATTGGCAACATAACCTCAACCTGTCCCGTGTCTGTGAAACTCTTTGTTTTGTTCTTTATCCCATGAAAACACACTTGTTTATTAGGTACATATTGAGCTCTACTTTGGTCTTGCCATGGTAGTGCTCAAACAACATTTCCCACTAGGAATCATGGTCATAAAGCAGTAAGTAGATGAGCACATGATTGCATGGAAAAGACAAAGACAGAGGAAGAGTTAGTGAGTCTTTGGGTTGGGAGTGTATATTATTTAAGGGGTTTGGGGAAATTGAGGGTAAAACAACTGACCAGACATGTCAATGAAGGAAATCTTTTAAATATGTAAAGGAAAAAAATAATTAAGCTATTGTCTCAATGACTGTGAATATTCTTGTTTCTCTATATGGGAAGAGAAAGGAACTGAGGGTTGGGGAAGCTTAGACTAGTCCACGCTGGTGGCAGGGACAATAGCTTGCTGCCAAGGATGTCCTATGCTTTCTTGTTCTCTGTAATAAAGAACTAAAAACAAGCCATGGTCTTCTAGCACTGAAGTAGCCAACCTTAAACTACTTATCCCTCCACTCCAACACAGCATCTTATGTTTTGCTCTATTCTTTTTAGAAACAACACCCTGCCATCATCACCTCCTCCCAACATCCTCCAACTTGAAATTGTTAGTGAAAAATACACCAAAGTTCACTTTCTAAAGCCAAAGTTTTGACTCACTAGCTTTGCTTCGATCCAGCTGCTCCTAAGTTCACCCTCCTCAATCTTAGTGTCACTGATCCTTAGTTTGTTGAGGAAACAAACTGTGGCTTCAAGAATGTTCTTTCTATCCTTGGTCTCTTGAGTTGACCCCTAGCTGTGTCTGTCTTAGGTGGAGACATGGTCAGTACCTTCTCCTCCCTCTTAGCTGCCCCAACCACAGCCTGCACAAAAACCCTGGCATCTGAGTCCCATCCCCAAATCTAGTGGCTCTGTGTCTGTCCAGCATTGTTTTTAACTAAAGTCTCCTTCTAGCTGATGCTTCGATATATGTTGGGACAACTCTCTCCTACCGCTCACGGTTGCCTCTACCTGTTAGTAACCATATGATGTAATTCTTGTGTTTTCTTAGTACAAGAAAACTTAAATAGCAAATCTACTAACAAAAAAGTAAAGTGTATTTCTGTCTATCTGCCTGTTCTTCTCCCTACTCTGTCTCTGGTGTTTACTTTCACCCTCTATACCTCTGACTGTACCCCAGTTCTTGAATGCAAAAAAAATACATCTATAAAAAATAAAAAAAATATCTACTAGCTATGACTTAAATTT